TTTCTTGCTTACTCATCAAACATTGATAAATAAGGAATAAATTAAACTCATTTTTTTTCTCAAGAATCATTTTCTATTTTCCTACGTACCAAACATACCCTATGTTTTGACTAATTTTATATAGATACCACTTAACTAATTGATGTAATACTTATCTCTTATATAATGTACTGTGTTAACCAAATGTCAAAGCAAATCTTGGCCCAAAAGAAAAAAGGACCAAAGAAAGAGAGATAGAGATAGAGATAGAGATAGAGAAAACAGCTAAACAAATAGCATATTAAAAATTCACTTTATAATAGGTATAAATAATTTTTTAAAATTCACTTTACAATAGGTATAAAATTTATTAAAAATTCAATAATACCGTAAAGTTTAGAAGAAAAATTTGAACTTTACATAATTATCTATTTGATTTTTAAAAAAAAAGGGAAAACCTGATGGGGCTAAGAAAAGGAGACGAATATAGCTAAACAGCTGCAGCAGAAAGAACGAAAAGCCAAAAGTCAAGGTGCATAGCGGTCTTTTCAAGAATAGGGGAGTACAAAATAAGGGGTTTGCAAGACAAAAGAGAGTCCGCTGGAACTACGGACAAGGATATTTTACTCAATTCCCCTCTTACTATTTTGAAAAGCAGAATAAAATGAAATTCCACCAGTGTGTAGGTAAGACAACCAACATTCTCTATGTTCAATTGGGCAAGCCAGAGGCCTTTTTCAAATAAGCCAATTCATTTTGGACCCTGCAGACCCACTCTTTTTCCTATTCAAAGTTCTAGTTCAAGGCAAGGCAGGACGGGACTCACGGGGGTTGGGGGGAGCCTTCCCCAGGGAAAGCCTAATAAGATTGTTGAGTCGTCAGACTTATCCACCAAGGGATTCGTGAAATTTCTGTGGATTGTGGATTGCGTTGGGGGAAATCTACCAAAGCTAGGCAGATAGATAGACTCCTTTCCCGCTGCTAAGGAGAGCAAGAAAGAAGAGATCTGATATACCCCTCAACTTTGTCATTTAGAGTTGATATACCCCTCGTTATAAAAGTGACTCATATATATCCCTATTGTTATACAAATGACTCACATATACTCTTTTCCTCTACCGGAAGTGAAGAAATTAATTTTAGTTTAAATTTTTTAATTATTTAAAAAAAATATAATCTCATATGGGTATATTTAATCTTCCTCAAACATATATTATTATTTTTAACTTTTTTTGTTTCAATGACTAATTTAGATTTATTATTTTGATGGTCAAATTTATTTAAGTTTTGTTAATATTCTTGTAAAATTTATTTAGATGACCCAATTTTTTTCTTCAAATACAAAAATCAAATTATATCCGAAAAAAATAGTTTTAATTTTTTTTCTTTACACTAAGGAATGAAAGAAAAAATAAAATAAGAATAAGAAACTCAAATAATAATAATCAAAAAGTCAAAAAAATAATTGTCCGAAAAATTAAAATAAACCTTGAAATTTGCTAGAAAATCATATATACCCCTAAATAATTTTTTTTTAAAATCAAAAGTAAAAAATGTAACTTAAAAACTATTTTTTTCACTTCCGTTAAATGAAGGGTATATGTGAGCACATTTTGTAACGATAGGGGTATATGTGAACCGTTTGTATAACGATAAAGGTATAAATGAGCCACTTTCATAACGAGGGGTATATCAACTCTAAATAATAAAGTTGAGGGGTATATCAGGCCCTTTTCCAAAAAAAAAATGGGTGCATTTTTTCAATAACTATAAAATATGCCGTGAATGGTGACTTTTGCTTCGTGTAAAGTGAACTTTATGAACTTGAGTGAAGTGTAATAATTAATTGTTTAATAAACTTAATGAGAGGTTTCTATTTCAAGCTTTGTTAGGTAGAAAATTGTTATTTATAAAGAGCGATTTATTTTTAATATGAGATTTTTAAAAATAAAGTCAAATTTAAATGAAAATTAATATGTATATCGGGTGAAAAAAAACATATATTAAAGCTATATGTCCAAATGAAAAATATTGGCAGTGTGAAGAAAAGAAAATAATGCATTTTCCCCAAATCTACATATTTTTCAACTCAAATTAACTAAACAAAGAAAATAAATAAAGTCCTTTCACTTTCTCTTCTTTTTCCCTGTTTCTCAAACAATAACAAATAAAGGGCTAATAATATTTTTCGTTCCCTAATTATTTTTAAAAAATAATTTTAATTTTGTAATATTGACCAAGTATATTTGATTTTTAATTAGTGAAAATGTGCCTTTTTGATCCGTTTTCTTGTGAATATTCATTAATTTCGAGAATTATTAACTGTTCCATTATTTATTCACTAAGTTTGTATTCCATATTTGGAAGTAGTATACTTCTAAAAATAGTTCATATACGACATATTTCCTACATAATGAGACCAAAAATTTATATTTCAATTAGAAGGATCAATTAAAATTTGTTAATACTATAAAGTGTACTTACCAAAAAGTCCTTAATTTTTAAGAAAATCGCCTAAAAGGTTATTTCATAACCGACTCATGTTGCCGAAGTGAGGGAACGTTCAATCGCTTAAATTTAAGGAGAGATGACTTGATTGGTTTGTACTAGGCTCTAAAAAGGTTTTCTTCGAGCGAACAATTTTCTATTTTTTTATATTGTATGTTCAAAACAATATTGTTAGTAGATTGAGATGGATTAATTTTCATTATCGTGCCTCCTCTTTCTACCAATGATGATGGAGCATTGCTTAATATGAGTTTTCTTATGCCCCAGAAATAATTGAGGAATCAAAAATATTATTATTCAAGAATAAATAAAATTAAAAAAGACAGCCAAAAAGATAAGAAAAGTAATTTGAAGGTTTTTATGGAGTACATTATTATTATGTCACTTCATACTTTATTTTCTCTTTTTTATTTCTTTAAATACAAGTTGCTCCAAATTAATCAACATCCTTGTGGTCCATATGGAATTTTATTATACCTAAAAGAATTAATTAATTAGCTCAGCAGGTCATGATGCATGTGAAATTTTATTATACCTAAAAGAATTAATTAATTAGCTCAGCAGGTCATGATGCATGATCAAAATTCACATTAATAAAAGAAACCTAATCCTACTATTTACAATATTTAAATGCATACACATACCTTTTTGTACAATTGAAAGCTACTTTTATTAATTTATTTGTTAATTTATGTAATCCTTTTGTCTTTTTCTTCGACAAAAAACCTTTTTTAATCATTGCGTAGACACAAAGTTCTCTAATTGCATATATTCGTAGCAGGGTGGGCATAAATACTCAAAATCGAAAAATCAAATTGAACTGATTCGGTTCTTTGATTTTTTGATTTGGTATTGATATTTTTTTCAAAAGTTCAATTCCGTTGTTCAGTGTTTGGTGTAATTTATAAGAGTCTCAAAACGTTGGTGCACTGAAGAATTAAACTCTTATTTAAAATCTTATAATTTGATTTTATCCTATTCTATTTTTCATCCGCATCGAACAATCATTTAAAAAATACTGAATCAAATCAAACCAAATTGAATCAGTTTGATTCGGTATTTGATGTACGTTTTTTAACAATCAAAACCCAAAAACGAAATTTAAACTTGATAAAATCGTGTTGGGGATTTAAATTTCAATATAATTCTTCAGAAAATTTAAAACTATATAGTATAATATTCTTATAGGAATTTGTGATAATAAAATAAGTAGTACTGAGCTTGCGTGGGGGAAATCTGAATTCTTTTTATAGTTCTTAAGCTGCAGTAGTAGTAGTGATAAAGTAAAAAATTTTATTAAAAATATTTAAAATTTAGTATATTATATATAAGAAATAATTTTTAACTTATATATATTGTATAATTTTTTGATGAATTAAAGATATTCAACCGTTAATTATTCACGTCACTATATGTGACCAAGCCACTGGGCTATGGGAGCTGCCTTTTAGATAATAATTCATGTGACTAATTTTGAATGTGTTGGTGAGAATTTAATATTTTTTTTCGTTCTAATTTATTCAAAATTATGCATATAAAAATTTTAGAAAAAAATGAAAAACTTTTGAATAATCATCTCATGAAAAAAATTCGAAGTAAGTAACAAAAAAAATATGATAATAAGAAAGCAAGACATAAATCAAATAAAATAACAAATAGTAATACACATAAATAAAACAAAATGTATGATAATATTCGATTACGTACTAATATTTCAGAATAAAATACTAATAAATATATCCAAATTTGGATATGGCCATCAATACCATTCATTATTATCAAATAAGAAGACAAAAGGAAGGTAGGTGGCAACTTCTTTGTATATTAGCAGGAAAAAGGATGAATAACAGGACATATACTATATAAAAAATAGGAAAAATGTTAAAAAAAATATTTACTCTACTGCATAATTTATTTATTTTAATTTAGCAATTGTTATACTTTAAAAATCATTCATATTCATTTTGTTAGTAAACCATCTCATATTTATTAAGCTGCTAAGTGTAGAGTTTAGAAAAGAGTCAAATTATAAGATTTATTATATCAACCATATCTTGCATTTTTTTAAGAGCCTATTTTCACAACTTGAAGATGTGATCTCCTGATCACTTGACAATAACTTTATCAGTTACATCAAGACTCTCCTTCAAGGTGTACTAAACTTTCTTTATGCGCGGGGTTCAAGGAAGGATCGGACCACAAGGATCTCTATTGTAAGCAGTCTTACCCTACATTTCGATTGTTTCCACAATTCAAACACATAACATCTTGCTCACATGACATCAACTTTATCAGTCACGTCAAGTTCCCCCAGAAATTTTTACAACAAAAACATCAAACAAATTTGAGGAAAATTAGTGTGGGTGGTTGAGATAGGGAGGTGGCAAGTTCCTAGTAGTGCAATGAAAGACCAAAAAAACCAAAACATATTCAAAGTTGAAAGTTCAAACTTCAACCCTCCCACTACCATATATTATCATTATCATCATCATAATTGTGTATATCTCCTCCAATAATATCTCATTTTACACAACTCCAACATGCTTCAAAATAGCTTCTTTTATTGACCCTTCCTCTTATTAAAATCCCTTACATCTCTATACTTCTTTTCACTACACAATATGGAATTTTTGACACCAAAAATCTTCATATTTTTCTCTTGTCTTCAACTCATATCACAAGCCAAAATCATAAAATTTGACCAGCAATATGGTGACCCTTTTGATCATACATATGTCCCCCTTCTTGAAATCAAACATCCTGCACAAATTAGCAATCAAGCACTTCAAATCACCCCAGACTCATCTTCCTCTGATTACCAAATGTTCAATAACTCAGGCAGAATCCTATTAAAACAACCTTTCAAACTATGGGTAGACAATGATATTTCAAGGACAGCGTCTTTCAACACATCATTCCTTGCAAACATTTATAGACCGGATAACAAAACACCAGCTGAAGGTCTAGCTTTCTTGATATGTCCAAATTTTGATTTGCCACTAAATAGTCAAGGCCAGTATTTGGGCCTAACGAATGCTACAACAGATGGTGAATTATCCAACAAAATAATCGCGATTGAGCTAGATACATTCAAACAAGAATTCGATATTGATGATAACCATATTGGGATTGATATAAACAGTGTTAAATCCGTTAAGTCGGAACCTTTAACACCACATGGAATTGAACTTGCTCCAATAGGTGTAAGATTTTACAATATATGGATACACTATGATGGATTCAAGAAAGTACTTGATGTGTACATTATTGAACAAATGACGAAACATGGGACAACACCAACAAGGCCAAAAGTACCAATACTAACACACAATGTTGATTTGAGAGAATTTGTAAATCAAGAATCATATTTTGGATTTTCAGCTTCAACAGGACATTTCAATCAGTTGAATTGTGTGTTGAGATGGAATTTAACAGTTGAGTATTTTCAAGAAAAGAATGATCAAGAAAAGGTACTAATAATAAGTCTAAGTGTTGGTGTATCAGTATTGGTTGTTTTATTGATTTTGTCAGGGTATTTTGGGTATTTTTTTATAAGAAAAAAAGGGATGATAGATCACAATCTAACATATTAGGGGCATTAAAGAGTTTACCTGGAATGCCTAGGGATTTTGAGTTTAAAGAATTGAAAAAAGCTACTAATAATTTTGATGAAAAGAATAAACTTGGTGAAGGTGGATTTGGAGTTGTGTACAAAGGGTATTTAGTTGGTGAAGATTTGGAAATTGCTGTGAAGTGGTTTTCTAGGGAAAGTATCAAGGGTCAAGATGATTTCTTGGCTGAGTTGACAATTATCAACCGTTTAAGGCATAAACATCTTGTCAAATTACTTGGTAAGTATTTTGAACTCTTTACCTTTATGTTTTTTTTTTTTGAGTATTTGTTCTTTGTTCAAGCTCGGATAAAGGAGGAATGTTATGACGACCAGCAAAAGAATAATCAAATTTTTTTGAGTGGATATAAAGATTTTGATATGTATGCTTATTGAGTTGAAGTGTAATTGGTTGATAGATTTGTCCTGTCTTTGGAATTTTATCCATGTTTTATGTATAGGTAGCAAAATCTACTAAGATTTTATGGAGAAAAAAAATAGAGACAGGTTTTACACATAGTCATTTCTTCATTTTGAGGACACTTTTTATTTATTGAGTCGTGTTTCTTATCCTTCCTCAACATAGTGACCGCTTTCATATTTTTTTTGAATTTTATAAATTTCGAGTACAAGTGCATGTTCATCCATTTTCATAGTCATTTCTTTGTTCCTTTAGTCGTTTTGATTGCATTTTTTTATTAAGTCATGTTTCTTTTCCTTCTTCAACATAGTGATTGCTTTCATGTTTTTTTCCAAATTTCTTAACTTTCGACCACAAGTGCATGTTCATCCATCTTCGTTTCGAACAAAAGCTTGAATTAAATTTTATTAATTATGGTACCAAGAATATTTTCTTGTGTTCTAAGGAGTTCCATTTTGACTCATATTAGGCCCATCTCCATCTTGAGAATGGTCCCAATAAGTCATATCCAACTACTATAAGATAAGTGAAAAAGTTAAAAGCTTTGATGCAACTTGCAAGTGTCAAAAATGGTGTGCTCATGTACCTTTTACAATAGTTTGAAAGTGATAAACATATACTCTTTCGTCTCAAAATATTTATTTATATATTTTTTATACGCCTTTTAAGAAAACATTAATTAGTAAAGATATTTAACTATTTCCTCCTTATTTATATTTTAAAACATAATCTCTATTTATATGTCATATTTGAGGTATTTGTAAATTTCAAAAATAATTACTAACTACTAAATATAAAATGAGGTAGGGGTGATTAATTTTAACTTGAATTTTTAAAATATAATCCAAAGTTTCTTGGAGGACCTACTAACTAATAATTTTAATGCCCTCTTGATGAAAAATCCAAAGTTAATAAATATTAAATTCTTAGCTGGAAGACAGAAGAGCACTGATTCCATTTCCTTTGTGTCTTTTTGGTTTTCTATACCACCAATTTCAAACATAGGGTCCCACACTCTTTTGTGGTTTGTTAGCTTCGGTATAAATATCGAGTAATTCTGATCATTTAAATTAATTATATGAAAAAAATTGTCTAGTGTTTTTGTTTCGATTAAATTTGAATCATTGTTTGAACAAACTTTTCTTTTGTAGGGAAGCTTCCTGTCTTTGAAAATCACTTTCATTCAAATGTCACCTATTATGATAAGTTTGGTACTTTCTAATATTAATATAATATAATTGGACAATTGCTTCAAAATGCACTCAACTCCAATTAAGACTAAGATTGTAACCCTACAACATGTCATCATAATTGAGAGAGGTCCAGATATTCCAAAATTAGGTCCTACAAAAAAGTTGATTGGAACACATACAACCCAACTTTTTTTGCCTTGTAAAGATTTGATATCCTCAAAATAGTATTGATTAGATATATTTATAGATTATTATTATTGTACTAACAATTTAGCTTATATAGGCATTAACAATTTTAACTCCACCTGTGTGAGCTCGCTCAAATTGTCTGTCCTTAATCCGAATAAAGAAGGAGGGTTGTTGAGGATCACTCAGAAACACCATTCTCTATCCCATAAGAGTAGGAGTAAGGCTGCATCGATTCATAGATCATTATTATTGTAGTCATAATTTGGCCTATATGTATATGTACTAATAACAATTTCAACTCCGTCATCAGTGTGATCTCGCTCACATTGTCGGTCTCAAGATTGAATAAAGAAGGAGAGTTGTCGAGGGTCAACCGAAAACAGTCTCTCTGCCTTATAAAGATAGGAAGAAGGATATTTACATCTTACCTTTGTCAGACGTACCCCACATGTAGGATTTCACTGAATTTGTTGTTATTATTGTTGCACTAACAATTTCAAGTGATCTAAAGTAATTTTTGAACCTCCTTTACCTTCTAATGAGAACGTAACCTAGATGTTACATGTAGTTATCATTTAGGTGACCTAATGGTATAAAAGTTCTTTTACGCTGTCAGTGTATATATATATGCTAATCACATGCATATTATTGTGACAGGATGGAGCCATAGGCATGGTAAGCTACTACTTGTATATGAATACATGCCAAATGGTAGCCTGGACAAACATCTCTTCTCATCAGAGCAAGAAAAAGAGCCACTCAGCTGGAGTGTGAGGTACAACATTGCATCGGGAGTCGCGTCAGCTCTGCACTATCTTCACAACGAATACGAGCAGAAGGTAGTCCATCGCGATCTCAAGGCAAACAACATCATGCTCGACTCAAACTTCAATGCACGTTTAGGTGATTTTGGATTAGCACGAGCAATTGACAACGAAAAGACCTCTTATGCTGATGAAGCTGAAGGTGTACTTGGCACGATGGGATACATCGCGCCAGAATGCTTCCACACAGGAAAAGCAACTCAACATTCTGATGTCTATGCATTCGGAGCTGTGTTGTTGGAGCTAATATGTGGCCAAAGGCCTGGAACTAAAGTTAATGGGTTTCAACTCTTTCTTGATTGGGTTTGGTTCTTGCATCGCGATGGGAGAATCCTTGAAGCTGTTGACAAGAGGCTCGAGGATCAATACGTGGTTGAAGAAGCAGAGAGATTGTTACTACTTGCTCTGGCTTGCTCCCATCCAATTGCCAATGAAAGGCCTAAAACACAAACAATAGTTCAAGTTATATCAGGATCAGTACCAGCACCACAAGTACCACCATTCAAACCATCATTTGTATGGCCTTCTATGGTTCCAATTGACATAGATTCATCGAGCATCGTCGATACAATATCCATCACAACTCCTCAGTACAGTTCAGAGAACAACAGTATTGAATATCAAAGCAAGTCGAGATAGCAATAGCTTGATTTAGGCCACTAAGATATTTTTTTTGCTTATTGTGTAATGACAAGAATAGCAGCTCATGTATATATTTCTCTGCCTTTTGTGTTAAATTCCATCCTATACATTGTTCCTTCTACGGTGTGATTGTTTGGTTTGTTGTATTAAAAATGACGTGTATTTCATAATTTCTAAAAAGAAGTTGTTCGTTTACATAAGTACTCTCCACCTTAGTAGAAAAAAGGTTGAGGGACTTTGGGGGTATTTTTGTCATTTTTTATTATTTTATTCCAGGTTAACTAATCTTGGGACTATTATTCCAACGTTTAACAGAAATAACTTATTCCGATACTAATTATTGATCTTGCTATAACTTATACCAGGATTAGTAACCAAACAAGAGATAAGGTTGTACTAATTTTTTATCTCAAAATTATCTATGTTGGTCCAACATACCAAACAAGCCCCAAGAGTAAGACCAGTTCAAGAGAGACCAACAAGGGTTGTAGTGAAGTGGTAAGTACTTTGTCATCTTTAACCAAATCAAAGGTCTCGGGTTCGAGTCCTTTTGGGTACGGAGTCATCTTTGTTAGAGAGCGCTTTACCCCTGAATGTGAAACTTTTCAGCGTGAATCCAAATTTAGTCAGACTCATTTGTCCAATACCAACATATGTTAGTGTCAACTGTCATATTGGACTAATATACCTGTCTTTTATATCTCCTTATATTCCTAACATGCAAATTATGATAAATCAGAGATCCATTAGTCTGTAGGGTGGTCGACCTAGAAGGCCTGCCTCCTCTTCAGATGTGTCCTCAACAACCTGACAGTTCTTCAATAACCGCTTTTGAGGTGGGAGTGCTTGTTCACTAAGGTTCCCTTTTCATCAACCAATTTGATTGTGTCAGCCCTGAGATTGGTCTAACATTTTGTTACGAGTTAACTAGACAAAGAGCATAATGAGTATCTTACTTCTAAAAAGAGGGCTTTCTAGTAATGGGATGTTATCAACCATCCTCCACTTTTTTTGGATCTACCTTTTCTTTATCAACCCGCTTTCATGGTTTTCATGTGATTATAGGTACACATTTCTCGATCATATGTGATATTCACCAATATCTCGATCATCCAACCACGCTGCTTTAAAACAGCTGCATAGTACTAGCATTTTGCGGACATAGTTCTAGAGAATCCTTTTCGAAAAAAGGGAATTTACTCACAAAAGTTCAACTGCATTAACAAGTTTACAACTCAAGATTCTTAGTCTAAATCACATATGTCCTGAGCCTCAGTACAGTGATTAAGATTATAACTAATACAAATAGCATTGTAATACAAATGACAGATGGGGATTAAGTAAAAAGAACAGTGTCTTAGAAACGAGACCGGATTAACTAGGCCGAGCTCTTGGTAAGCAGAGAATTGGTGAACCACACTTGGTTTATCGAACGATGACAACAGTCAGTACTCGAGTGATCCTATAGATGAAAGTCCGGACATGAAATCTCGACCATCAGCACTATTATTACTGTTCATCCTTTCAGGTGGACCGCGATTTAGGGATCCAACCTCCTCCCCCAGTTTCTGCACATCCTCGGGTGAAAGAATTTTGATGTACCAAACATTATTGACAAATTCCCTGAAAAAATATCATGTCTTGGTTTGAACAAAAGATGGTAAAAAGCCAACATACCAAGTGTAATCCCACAGGTGGAGTTTGGGAAGGGCAGTATGCACGCAGACCTTACCCCTATCTTGGAAGGTAGAGAGGTTGTTTCCTATAGACCCTTGACTCAAGGAGAAGCATTTCAAAGCAGTTCAGAAAAAAAAAAAAACTGGAGTACAAAGATGGTAAAAAACCAATTTTTTTTAACAGAACGAATAATTCATACAAAGGTACTAGAATTGATATATAATCAGCTATCACTACCGAATACCCGATGATGCTGTGAGTAGTACAAGGACTTGAAGCATAAAGTTGTTCGTTCCATCAGATTCAAAAAATTTGGAGCAGAGTCAAAATGTAAAGCAACAATAATGTACCCAATCTAGTCTCACAAAGTGGGGTCTGGGGAGGGTAGAGTGTACGCAAACCTTACCGTACCTCAAAGGTAGAGAGGCTGTTTCCGATAGCCAAGGAAAAACAATCCAAAATGAAGTAATGGAAGTGAAAGCATAACAAAACATGTTTAGCAGTAACTACAACAAAATAATATGATAATCGAAGTACAAGAGTCAAAATGTAAAGCCTTCTGGTTAATTAGGTACTTACTCCCATGGATCGTCTCCAAGGAGAAGGACATCATTCTCCCTGTCAACAAATACAAGCTGCCAGCCTGATCTTTGAGGGTCTTCAAGAAACCCTTCGATCCCGAACATCTGTCCCAGTTCCTGTCGTAGCTCATGATAGCTATTGAATCGAGTGATATCCAATGATCTCCCAATGGACGCTGATTTGTAAACCTGCAAAAAAAATAAAAAATATCCATATCTTAGTAATATGCAATAAAGCAACAATGAAATGCATAACATACACAACAGAACTAGCACCTTGACAAATGTACGGGGCGCAGTTTGTGCATCAACTTGCCCTACATTATGCAACATGTCAGAAGAATCTTGCACATAACCATACAAAGAATTCGGAAATCCAGAAGTCCCTAGTGGCATAGAGGATATATCAGCGTCAATTGATGTAGTAGCGCCGTTAGACACAGTTGTCGGGAGGAGAAGCCCTGAAGAATCAACATTAGCACCAAAAAGAGATTGATTCTGGGCATCTAGACTACATGTTTCCTGTGAATTGGAAGTATCTTTCCCATATCCAGAGACTGAGGGTGAATTGGAGCCCATGTTCAATTGTGAATGCGCAAATTTTGCCATCCAAGATTTCTGCTGCTGCTGCTGCTCCATGATCACAGGCTGCTGACCAAGTATATTGAAATTCAAAAAGTTACTAGTTCCTTCCGAACATAAAGAACCCAGCGCTGTTGGCATGCCTGATGGAGCAATGGATGCCGAGAACTTGGAGCTTGGATCTGCTATATCTGGCTTTGAGAATGATGGAGAAGGAACATTTGATGGTTGCTTCTGCTGGAGCTGGCTGTTTGGTATTTGGTATGCTTCCTGGTAAGAATGATGATGAGATTGCTCCTCTGTCTGATTGCTAACGTGTTGCTGTTGTTGCCTTTGAAGGTTATCTTGAGTTTGTGCAGGCAACATATGCTGATGAATTGTCTGCTGCATTGCTTCTTGTTGTTGCTGCTGCTGCTGCAGGAGAGGATTAAGACTGCCTGCATGCTGAACATATTGGATGGGCTGCGGAAACTGCATCAGTTGCTGTTTCATCAGATCTCCGCTCCCAAAATTTTGCAAACCGCTAGCCAGCATAGCTTGATACTGCTGGTTAAGATCATTTCGGAGCATTGTTGGATCAACTCTTTGTTGCATCCAGGGGAGCATGCCACCAAAAGACTGAAGATTCAGTAGATGTGGTCCTTGCTCACTACTTTCCCCTCTCAACCATGCCATTCCATTAATAGCTTCACTGTTATTTTCTGGAAAAAAAAAACAAACGGCAAATATTCATAATAGACCATGGGAAAAACAAATAAGCTGAAAGTTCAAATAATGAAATAACTGATACTGCTAAAAAATGGTTTTTTCCTTCTTAGAAGAGCCATCTGGATGACAACGGATTTTACATATTTCTCAACAAACAGTACTCCCTCCGTTTAAAATTGTTCGTCTAGTTTTGACTTGGCACGGAGTTTTAAAAAGTAAAAGACTAATAAATCTTGTGGTCGTAAACGAAAGATGTGTACAATGTACCCAAATGCACTTTAATCTTGTGGTTTTAAACATGTTATGTGAAAAGTTAAAATTTAAGAGTTGTCAAAAAAGGAAAGAGGCATTCTTTTTGAAACAGACTAAAAAGGAAAGTAAGATAAAACATATTGAAACGGAGGGATTACAAGGAAACCTCAGGATTGTACAGCTTCACTTTCCTAACAGCATAACATTGAGTACGCAAAATACCTTGAAAAGATGAAGTTCCTGGATACCAAGGCCGCTTTAGCCTAAGAGGGAACAAAGATGGATACATTGGAAAAGTAGTCAAAGGCTCTATCTCCCATAGGGAAACCCTAGGTTGCCTCTCGCCTGCCGTTGACTCATCCCAACCAACCTACAATTTCATAAAATTTCTTTTGTAAATAGATATCTGCGAACATAGAATAACTGTTTACGAACATAGAATAACTGTTTACGAACATAGAATAACTGTTTACGAACATATAACAATAGTACAATCGTAAATTTGTAATTTCCCTATGAATGGTGGTAAAAGCAAAGCAAGATAGCCTGATTTCTGCATTTGCTACATGAGTTCTGAGACAAACAAGTTCTATACTCTAATGAACATAGCACCAAAGATAGACAACCTTGTGGAGAAACAACTTGACATAGTAAAGAAAGTTGGAGATTTGATAAAATAAACGAAAATCACTTAGCGCCTAAACTATTAAAAGTTCAATGTATTTGAATAGCTGATAGATACGCATTTGATGCTGGTGAAGTAAAAGTCTTCCTAATTAGGCAACAAAGTCTACAATCTTTGCCAGCAAAAGAACCATGAGTTCCGATGCAAGTATGTCAAATTTCTTGTGGAAAAACTTAGGCATATTTTAAAATTGAAGTATCAACCGCAGGAAAAGGAAAAGAGGTAGCAATTCAGAGGTGTATTTTGCTTGCACAAGAGAGAGAGAGGTGGGGTGCGAAGTAGCATAGCAATGTAGAAAAGTATAAGTATATTTTTACAGTAAACAATAGAATAAAATCAAACTGGGATCTAGGACAAGAATGTAAAAGTAATAGCTAGTTTAACATAAGCAAAGCTAGTGCATGCCAACATAAATTGAAGAAGATCAAAATTAGTGCCACGGAAACATGACAACATCAATGACTGAAAATCAAGCGAAAAAGAAAGTGAGAGAAGAAAAATCAGTTGAAAAGATTTTCTATTAAAAATTTTGAATTTCCTAATAATATGGATATACAAGTAAAACCTAATATGTGCACAGAAGGCATTTTAAACTAAGTTGCTCGGACTCTCCAAAAATGTTGCCTCACCCGTATCGGATCCTTCAAAAATACACTACTTTTGAAGGATCCAACACACACCCGATGACATTTTTGAAGAGTCCAAGCAAC